TTGGGTAATCTGATAATAGTGATAACATGATATTCGTATCATATCCATAATTAGCATGTCAATTAACCCCTGTAGACAAAGTTTGGGCGATTTCTGAAGATTCAAAATACTAGGTTACCTAAGTGAAATGGTCATATTCCAACATGGTTAACTTTGTTTCAAAGGTGAATTAGCTATCCGTTTTTGCACTCAAAACAAAGTACTACTCCTTCTTTGTCCACCGGAATCCCGCTTCAAAAAACCTCCAAACTGTGGAATTAGAAGCCAACCAAAATTTCATTTTTCCCATTTTTCGCTTTTGATGACTGTGCTTTCACCAAGTATTACTCAGAGCTAAGAAGACGAATCAGGCTTATAACATTTCTATGGAATCTACGAGGTTTAGGCTATCGATCCATAAAGTTACGGTTTGCTTAGAATGTTCTTATGACATAGTTAATGGGGTGTGGCAGGACCCCTAAAAAGCTGTGGCAGCCACACCCCATTAACTATATCGAAAAAACATTTTCAGCGAAAAATATTCATATGAATCGATGACCTAAACTTCTTAGATTCCCAAATCTCGCTAGAAAATGAAGGCCCCTGAGTCTGCCCCATAGCCCCACCCACTCGCTTACTGCGTACAAGTAATTTTTTTTACCTCTTTGCACATGCGTACAACGTACGAGTGTAGGATCATGTTCATGTTTTAGTATATTATTTTTTGATCTGTCATAACATGTAGCTCTGACATGAGATTGTCTGATGTAATTTTCATCGAGTTTCTGCATGTTTATATGATAGTGTCGCGACTTCTAATGTAAATGAATCCCGATCCAAATGCAAAGTCATTTTCAATCATTTTTTCTCCATACAATGATAAGTTAATGCTGATGTACTCGATTGCCGATTGAATTATTTCAAATGAAATTTATTGCAGTGATCCAAAGGTAATGGGCCTCATTGAGATTAATTGCATTTTTTCGAGCAAAAAAGTTGGTTGATGTCCAAGTTTTTTCTGATGTAGTACATATTAAACCTTCTGATTGAGATTAATGGATTGGACTGCTGCATGACGTTATTGACTATTCAAGCATTTCGAATTATGAGCAGCACCGCCGCAGTAAAGGTGAGCTATCTAAAATTCTTGTGCCGCAGTAAGTAACGGGACTGCAATCAAATTCACGAGAGTCAGGTACCTTAGTGTTTTGCAATAGAAGATGTAATGGAGTATTAGAACATTAGTTCTTTCGTCGAAGTTTAAATGAGCTCACCTTTGACTAAACCCTTGACAGAACTTTACGCTCTATCCACGCGCATGCAGTTTACTTTGACTTTTCTTTATTCTCAAAATTATGGGCCAAAACATGGTTTTTGGACTGAAATTCTGCCCCAATTATCTCACTTTTTCGAAGATTCTGCCTTTTTTATTTAGAACATAAAGAACTTCAGCACAAATAAGCGATTATTAGAAAGACCTTAATAGTTTGTGAAATACAAGAAAAAAGAGGTTCTGCAATTATTTTATGGCAACGCATTCAGAATGCCAACAACGGCGCAAAGCTAGAAAAGTCACCGGCGCCGTGAACGCAAAGGCACTGTACCAGTGGCGCAAAAGTAACAGCGCTCTTCATCGCTGTAAACCCTGCTCCTCATGCGCTCTGCGACCGTTAGCGCACCTAGGTATTGCGTCTTCGTCCGGAACTAGCCTATAGTAGAAGATATTAGGTTGTCCCGAAAGTTTTGTCCGTTTTTTTAAACTACTATAAAACCACGCACAACAAAGATCTGAATGAGTTTCAACATACGTTCAATGCAGCTTTCCCTTCTCTTTCTTATTTATACATTTTCGGACCACCACCTTTTATGCCTTTTTTGATAATTGCAAAAATTTTCCACCCGTCAGTTTTATGAGCTCAAAGTTAGATGAATGTTAGCATGGACAATATACAGTATGGCCTGTTTCGCCTCTACCCCCATACAGGTATCAAAAAGAGTGGACCACTCCCGAGGCTCTTCAGTAGGGAAGATGGCTTGAATGGAAGACTAATGGTTTGGCCTTGAGTGTTGCTGTACTTATACCTCAAGGTTTATATAGCATTCGGGTAGAGCAAAATAATTATGATCCATCGGAAAACGTAAAATTCATTGAAATTCGTCAATAAGTTTTTGAATTATGCGCTTTATAAAATGTCTAGAGTTTTGAATGGATGAAGGGATACTTATGGAAAACACATTTGTTGAATGTAAAACATTTTATAAATGCTTTTGTAATAATATCAGCACTAAAACCAAGTGCGTAAAGTTTTATTCATTAAAAGCAATAATCTTTGTTCAAAGCTGTCAAAACTTGTGCAAGTTCTGTAAATTTTTAGGATCCCGTATATAACAGCTATTTTAATTTTAAGACTAACATTAGAGTTTCCGTGAGTATATTTATTGGCAGTAGAATCAAAGTAATCAGTTTTGTTATACTGTTCTGTGTAAATTCTGTTATTTTTGAGCACAATTTTCTTATCAAGAAAGTTACAACCAGGGTCAAGCGTGGGGTGCGGCACGCCACACCTGGGGGGGGGGGGTCGTATTGAGGAGTCGAAAGGGGAGGGGGTAGTAGTTGGGTAATCTGATAATAGTGATAACATGATATTCGTATCCTATCCATAATTAGCATGCCAAATAACCCCTGTAGACAAAGCGAATTGAGCGAATTCTGACGATTCAAGATACTAGGCTACCTAAGTGAAATGGTCAAATTCCAACATGGTTAACTTTGTTTTAAAGGTGAATTAGCTATCCGTTTTTGCACTCAAGACAAAACACTACTCCTTCTTTGTCCACCCCAGGAATCCCGCTTCAGAAGACCTCCAAACTGTGGAATTAGAAGCCAACCAAAATCTCGTTTTTCCCATTTTTCGCTTTTGATCGCTGTGCTTTCACCAAATATTACTCAGAGCTAAGAAGATGAATCAGGCTCTAAACAGTCCTATGGAATCTACAAGGTTTAGGCTATCGATTCATATAAGTACTGTCCGCTAAAAATGTTTTTTTTTTGATATAGTTGATGGGGTGCGGCACACCCCCTTAAAAGCTGCGGCGGCCGCAGCGGATAGCTAATTCACCTTTGAAACAAAGTTAACCATGTTGGAATTTGACCATTTCACTTAGGTAGCCTAGTATCTTGAATCTTCAGAATTCGCTCACACTTTGTCTACAGGGGTTATTTGATATGCTAATTATGGATATGTTGCCCATTATGTTTGACAGGGCCTTCAATTAATACTATCTTAAGTGTATAGTTCAGGGGGGGGGGAGGTCTTATTAAGACAGCAAACAGGGGGGGGGGGTCGTAACCAGCGATCGTGTGCCACACCCCTTGCTTGACCCTGATGATAACTACTGCTATTCGCTATCTAACAAGGATGAGTTCTCAAGTCAGCTCGACCAACCCGGAGGTCATATATCACCGTAACGGGCTTGAAACGCGTATTCCAAATCTGCTTTTGGTTTCTGCGGAACAGCTCTACAAAAGAATTCACCAGCGTTAAAAGAAAATTTATCAAGTCTTTAGTAACGTAAAATTGGCGAAAGCTGTACAATATCACCTAAAAGTAGGTTTTTAATTTTGTATCAAGTATACTGACTACAGGGACGAAAAACAGCCAGTGGAATTCCGCTAGATGTTGTTTTAGAGCTTTTCGCTAATTTTATAAGCCACTTCAAACATGACAATTCAACTTTCGAAACCCCATAACTTCTTTCGTGTTGTCGTTCCGCAGAAATAGAAACAGATTTGGAATCAGCATTTCAAGCCCGTGGCGGTGATCTATGACTCACCCGGGATGGTCAAGCTGACTTGGGAACTCTTCCTTGTAAGATGATTTTCAGACAAAAAAGCTTAAAAAAGGCGCAAAGGCAACGAGACACAGAGATTCGAGGGGTAGCTGGTGCTCTCGCAACTGCCCTGTCAGCATTATTTCAACCGTAGTCAGGGCAGAACCTTAGATTCCGGGGTTCATATCTTATTTCACAGAACCGTTCCGCAAATTTAGAAAGCAGATATATAATCAATATCTCGAAGGAACTATAATGATGTACATCTCCTTGCTAAGCACTTGCACGACTCGGTATCTCCCTCATCAGAATCAAGTCTGAGTTGACGCGAAACTTCAAACTCGGAGTTTCGACAAGGTTAGTACCCAATGCAGAAAGTATTGCAATCGATCCCGGTAGTCTCCGTCGTGAAGTTTTTTTACTTTTTTTCCGAAATTACGGTTCATCTTTACGAGTTTAGCTATCAAAAGTCAAACGCTTGCATGAGAACTCAATTGTCAGGAAAATTTTTTTAGAGTCTAGCAAAGAGGTGCATTTGCATCTATTGTCTGCAAAAGAAGGGATACCGCAACTACGAATCGATGACATCCAACAAATCAACTTCGTGGAGGGAAACGTGAACTAAAGCAGAGCACATTAAAAAATTGACGTTCTGCTTTTCTGCTATCCGTTTGCGCCATGCCCTCTAAAGCTTTTGAGCTTAAATTAGTAAGCTTGTGACATCCATAAAGGAGGCCGTAAGTTCGGAAGTCTCAGACGGGATTTTTCTCCGGAGGTCCGTACTCCAAGCCAGTGCCGGATCGTGATCTATTTTATGAGAAGAAGTTAGTCCCATAATGGCAGAGAAACAAGCTGATTTTCCCTCCCCCTTATGTTTGGCTAAGTCAGATATAACTCATCGTTTCCAGTGGATTATGGTAACCAATAGTTTCAAATTTACACTGGATTGTCTACTCTAGAATGTTTTAGAACACTATACTGCGCTCGGACTACGATATTGCAAGAAATCAGAACATTACACATAGTTGGCACTGATATTATGTAAAACGCACTCAAAAAAAAGGTGAATAATGATTTGCGCGATATAGATAGACACCTAACGAAGTTATGTTTATCAGACGAGCGCACGAAAAAGGTGTCTGACAACATTGACATCACCCATCAAATGTCGATACTTCATTGGATGATAACGAAACTCTTTACAAAGAAAATGCTGGCAAGCCACAGATAGTGAAAATTTTCTATGAAAAATGTACAGGGAAAATAATTACGGGAAAATTCTTACCAAAAACCACTTGATTTTTTTTTGCTTTTACAAAAAGAATTTATACAGTTCATTCGTTGACCGCACGGACTGCTCATCAGTGTGGAGCACGCGCCGCGGGGTAAAACGCTTGCCCCAGTGCAAGTTTGCCGCTGTACAAGTCGTGCTCCCGCACCATTTCAACCGCGCCGCGCGTGGTCCGCAGCGTTCGATCAGTCCGTGCGCTCAACGAATCGACGATATATGGAAATGATAGATTTTTTACAGTTGATCACAGTCGTCTCACTACTCGATAACAACACATGGTTTATGACCTGTTATTCACAGTTAGTACACGGTGTAAGGTCGAGGTTCGGCACGTCGTTTCAGGAACATTCGAACAGCTGCGAACACCACCCCAACGATGAGAATGGCCAGGAAGAATCCGACTGAAATGATTGGAATGAATCAACAAAAACATTTGGGTAAGACAGAAAAGCGAAGACTGGCATTTTCTACGAGTAAAGCCTGTACTCAAATGCTTGGCAAATAGAATGACTTTCTGATATGCAAGACTGAATCGGAACAGAAAAATATGAAACAAAATAGAGTGGTGATACTAAGACAATATCTTTCAGTTACATCTTTTTACTGTCAATCGAAAGATACTCAAATACGAGTTTCGCTTCTGACATAAAAGTATTTTTTCTGGTTAAGGTTTGTGTTCTTCATATAAAGAGCAGTAGAAGAAACTGCAGTCGTAAGCGACCCTTTTAGATGCTTCCGATCATTTTCGATGGTCTCAAAGCCATGATAAAATAGAAATAAGTACAGGAATTCAGAATATTGCTTCCAGTACTTTAGAATAAAACTCCGCCGTTGTACATATTTATTTCAAGATGCAGAGTTTTGCTAATATTGAGTTCAAATGGACTCAATGCTTAAAGTTATTTGTTTCAATGTTGATGACATTCTGACCTACTCTGGGGAGGGCAGATTTAGAAAATATCGATGTTCAAGATATATATTAGCTGCAAAGAAAATAGATCATGGCATAAGCAAATTAAAGCTTTTCATGGTTGATTCGAAATTTTATTTGCAATATATATACCACTATAGGGCGTCCATCTACAAAGAATGTGTCTCTGTCCCGTGAATTTTCTCCTACACTAGAGAGCGAGAAAAAGAGAAGAAAAGCACGTATGGTTGATTTTACTTGATCCCACAATTTTGAACTTAATGCTGGCTCCCTATGCAAAAAGAGGATCGAAGAGGGAAAATATTTAAGTCGTTTTTCTACAGCAACCTTTGTCGTCAGATATCATCGAAGAACAAAGCCTCAAAAAACGTTATCTAGCTCAATCAAGAAAGATTGAGCTATGGGCAACGTAAACATTCAGAGCTGTGCAATTTCCATGATATTTTTGTTTTCTATTGTGGATAGTATGAATCAGTAAATTTTACTTCATGTGTGCTTTTGCACTTTTGCCGTTCACCTACGCTTATGTGAATTCAGATGTTACTTTAGGTCATATTTACGTCGTCTGCACTATAACTCGTGGATGTTCATCAACAGTCGTGGATTATACAGCTGAAGTTTCCCACATTTGTTCGATAAATCGTATATGGAAACGTAGCAAAATGAAGAGGGATGGTCACAAAACTTTGTTTAAGCGCTTATTCAAGGAGGAATGTCCAAGCAGCGCTTCAAATGGAATCTTGAGCAAAGTATGCGAAAAAGTTGAATCGTTTCGCTTATTTACGCTGATTCTAGAATTTACAAACTTTAGCTAAGTCGCATGCCATGACAAAATATTTTTCACTCCTTTTGGATTCACCATGAACTTTTGGATAAAAATTGTTGAAATTTAGCTGGTTCCTTATTGAAAGAATAAGTTGAAAAACGCACTTTTCGAGCACAAAAAGTATGACAATCTCATTAAAAATTTGCTTCTGCTCTTCCTGCTTTGCATCTTTTTCACCAGACTCGCCCCTTTCAGACTCTTTCTTTATCGGGAACGTAAAAAACAAGTAATTGGAATGGCTGTCCAATGACTTAAGTTTCTGGTGGTATTGCTTAGCATGGTCTCATCACCATCAGTAACATCCATACACTTCAAATTTCACACATAATACCATCCCTACAGATTTTTTTCTTCTATATTTTCAAATCTACAGTTCTATTTGGGGGGAAATAATTTTGCTTTTTTAGTATAAGATTCGATACAAAAAAAGTCAGGTATAACTGAAACATCAAAAGTAACTCACTGATGAATGATCCAGTAGTGAAATGAGGTATTCTCGGTATGGCTGGAGCAAACGTTGTTGCTTCGTCGGAGGTGGTTTCCTTCCCGAGACCAGGCAGCAGTGGCAGCGGCGACGATGCTTTCTCTTTCGTATCTGACGATGACGACGAAGCTCCCTCTTCTGGGCTCGCCGGAGGAACAAACGGTGAGACTCCCTTTCGTGGGCCTTCTGGTTCCGGACCTGTCAGCAATCCCGAGATCACCTTTTCTGGACCAGAAGCGGTTGCTTCTTCGGTATCTTCCGAAGAGTTCGGTCCTAGTAGTGTGCCAGAGACGTGAACTGTTTGCTTTACCACTTTCATCGTTTCTCCGTTTTCATCTTGCTAGAAAAGAGGGCTTTGATTCCATCACTTCTTCATAATCACTTACACTGCGCTGCACGATTGTCTTTTCAATTCCTTTTCCATTTTCATCTTCCTGAAAAGAGGGCTTCGGGTTTCATCAAATTTTTATAATCACTTACATAGTGCCGCACACTTGTACGAGAAATGGCTGAGCTAGAGACTGGCGAACACTGTAGAGTAATGAACAGAAAGCAAGCGACGACTTTCTTGCACATCGTTTCCGGAAGCCAATGACGGGAATGAACAGAATGTCGGGGTTGGGATTCAATCACGACCACAGTCGATGACGATGGTGAGCTCAGCTGCGATAGGGCAACAAAGCTCGACGGCTACTCTTCGATTTCTATTCATCCTATGGCATAATCGATACCATTATATGGAATGAAAAACTTCATTGACGCTGGATGCATCAAAAACATTATAAAACTGTTTGACATCCGATATCCATGAGATTTTGGCATACAGCCAACCTACTTGATCTGAGATTTCTTTGCTGGTCATTAAATGTTATTTAGATAAGACTATTCTTTTCATTCACTTTCGCCTAAATGGCCATGAACAACAACAACATTATTTCCGACTTCCAAACAGTACTATTGACCATTCGCACTTCCTTTCGCCTCACAGAGGAACTATGTTCAGTCGAAGTGGCTTATTTAAATGGGATTTAAACCATATTAGAGAGCATGAAACGCTGATCTTAAATCTGCCCTTCTTATCTGCGTAACATTCATGGATGAAGAATTATGAGATTTTATTAGTGCACACAATTAAATGTGCAAATAGGACAAAAAATGTCGTAATATTTTTTCTAGCGCTTAAGTGAAGCAGTGACGATCATCAAAGCACCTTATTCAGTAAATACTTTTAGAGAAGAAGACTTATCACAGGTTGCTTTATTTGACGGCGAGCAAGATTTTTGCAACTCCTTTTACTTTACATGCACATTCAATTTTATGCTCCGATAAACGCCCATAGCTCCTCGTCCACAAACGTTTCGTAGATAAGGAAGACAGATTTGGAATCAGCGATTTATGCTCTTCAACATGGTATACATCACATCCAAAACGGACACTCCGACTAGACATGGTTCCTTCTCTGCCTACCATTGACCATCATTTTTTGGTGACCAACGTGTTGTTTACCTATCACAATTAACATATCAACTTATGGTTACTTTTCAAACCTTCATTGAAAGCTGGGTAACCAGAAGTTGGTATTCTGACTGTGGCAAGTGAGCGACGTATTCTCCAAAAATTGAGACGCAACGGCGGAAGTCGGGAAGGAAAGTGGAAGTGATTGACGGAGGAGGGTTAAAAGCAGAAAATCTTTCGATTGTTCACCTGGATTTATGTGGAAGGAAGCAATTTATGCGGTATCTTGGTTACAAAATTGACTGACATTTCAAATATTATAGCGCTTAATACTACTTTTCCAAGCCCTAGGCTTTGAAAAGTTTCCATTCATAAAAGGGATTCTCCAATACGTGCGCTCATCGATCGAGCTTTTAGCAGCGATTTTCAGGTTCGATGAGCAGAGCGTAAATCTTGAAATAACTCTGTTCGCGGTTATTGTAAAGCAAGCGTTTGCGATGGAAGAGTGAATCGATGTCTGATGAGTGAAAATGAAATAAAGAGCTTCGAAAAGGCAGCACGAATTTTTGCAGCTTTTTCTCTAACAAGGAGGAATCACCTTTTTTGGAAAAATGGGTACGGATAACGGGGAAGTAGTAGCAGTTTTTTTTCGACGAATCAAACTGTAGTTATTTCTGTTTTATTTTGTTTCTTTCAGTACCCAAGTGCCTGCTTTTCTTGCGGTCTGCTTGCAGATATTTGGAAGAATGTTGGCGAAGTTCCAGAGAAATGCTCGGAGAACAAGCGGCCTTTTCATGGATTAGTTGCTTTCTGCGAGAATACGCAAAATTATTGAGGGCCGCACGGTCCTTTGTGAAGGATCGCACAGCCCGCAGGTACTTTCCGTCGAGAGAAAGTACCCCAAACTCGGGTAATTAAACCACTGGTGACACCTCTGCCGTGTAGAGTGTTACCCCCCTCGCCGTACGGCCGAAACTGCTTAACAAGAATCAGAGCGCCCGCTGAAAATTTGGCCGGCACTTGCTGAAGAGAATTATTTGGCGACCGCTTGCAGAAAATTCTGTATTGCTGCCCCCTGGCAGCATGCGACAGCAAAGGAAGTACCGCTCGCTGAAGGTTTGGCCACTCAGAGCTTGTGCATATTTGTAGCCTACATCACAATCTATATACATGAAGCCAAATTGTGAATGACCGCATTTGGAAAGAAAAGATGGAACTGGATGCAAACATTAGTTGCCAAGCTAATTATCAATTAGTGTCCGACGCTAGCAGTACCGCCTAGAACTAGGTTGTGACATCGAGAGAGGTTGTCTCCTATAACTGAGGAGAAAGACTCAAACAAGTTTGTGTCACAGTATTTGGCGTACAGAACAGTAAATGACGTGGGCTACACCTACGAAGTTCGATTGCTGTTCTGCATTTCAAGCGCCTTTGTTGCCCCGACTTTCACCAAGCATACAGTTTCTGTGAATTCTTTCGATAAATTAAGAGCTTCACAAAAAGCTGATTTTTGTGGGCTGATCAACATCTAATCGCCACGCTTGCAAGTGGTTAAAGGCACCCTCCACCCAAAGTGGGGGTGAGTGACGAGGTTATGATGGCATACTAGCCTGGGCCCCCACAGGGAGACGGTCAAGAGGCGCGATTTCTCTGGCTGTCACCAACTTAAATCTCCAGTTTAGTGCTGTGCAAGTCTTCAAAAAATTATCAGATAAAGTGCGTTAGCTTACTATCTGTCTAAGGTCACCACTTGCTGATTTTCATGGTTTTTGTTATAAATCAGACTGAAATATTTACGAATTTGTTCTGAAATGCGTTTTCAGAGTTTCTGACCTTCAAACTTGCTCTTTTGAATTTTTTCGAGAGTATCAAGATTGAACAACTTATGCAACTATCTAATATATCTTCTTCTAGAATTCATATACTTCTAGAAAGTTGCAGAACACTTATAATGTGCTATTTGGTGTCCAGCTGGCAATAAAAATCGCGCCTCTTGACATACACCCGCCCCCACACTAGGCAAACTCCCAAGTTGCGCAGCAAAAGCGAGAAATTCGCTCCGGAATGGACGTAATCCGGTGCTAGTCACTCCGCCCATTTTTAAAGTTTTGTAAATGACGCGCCCGAGGTATAACCGCGCCGCAGCCGTGCGATCTGCATTGCATCCTTTTCCAAAACGGGAGTTTTTGGAGGTTTCAAGGATTCTCGGCTCTATATTCGAAATCAGGACCTTCAGAAGGCCTGGAAGCGACAAAAACATGGAAGTCGAGAATTTGGGTGGACGGTGCATTTAAGGCGTTAATGGTGGCGTTCCACGCGCTACAAGCGCTGAACGGACAGTGATTCACTTCCATCAAGGTGTAATCTTGTCAAGCTTCAGATGTTTCAACATATAAGAAGTAACGAAGAAACTTTCTAATAAGACCGCCCGAAGTCCTTCACGACAACCGCGCGCGGGAATTGATATTCTACCGAGGCGAAGGGTACATGAAAGCAAGGCGCGGACAAATAGAAGAGCTTTAATGATGAAAGATGCTTCAACGTTGCTGTGACACCCACTTCGCAAAATAAGCAACCGCCTTTGTTAGGGATTAGCTTCAATGAAAAAACGGGGCAATTAGATCTCACAAGACCTGTGGGAGGGATTTTTTGATACATTGCTTTTGTGGTCTCATGAAGTTCTGCGCAAATGAATGATTATGATTGAATGAATAATTGAATGATTTTTATTATTATTATTTTATTATAGCGAAAAGAATGAAGGAGCAGCTATATCACAACTCGTCCTTGAACACGGGCAATCGCGTTGGACCTTTTTCCAGCAAATCGGGTGCATCGTCAACTTCCTGTAACGAAAAAAATTGGCTTGAGAGTCAGTAAATGTGAAAGTAAGACAAACTTTATAGCTTGCAATGCCGTCATTATCAAAATCGAGTATCCATGCAACACCAGGATCACGTTTACGACCCTTTGCTTTTGACTTCTTTTGTAGCATCTCGGCTTCATCTCTTTCCATAACTTTCTTGAACTCCAACAAATCGATAGAACCATCACCATTAGCGTCAAAGTACCTAAAATAATCGAGATGAACAGAAGATGAAACAGGGAATGCGAGACTCACTTGATATAATATCTAACAGCTATAACATTATCAATATCTTCGTTTCTCCACGTCTTGCCAAAATCTTTCATGTGATCCAGCCATTTCAAGAGCTGAAACAAAAAAAAGTCGTGTGAATATAGCCTCTGCTTTAATAGTCAATAGCGCCATTATGAAGTAATTCAAGAATTTTTTCGTTGCAATGTGCAAGTGGCTTAAGCGCGAGAGAGGACATAGTAACCTTTAAAAGTGTCTAAACTTAAAAAAAAACTAGAAACAAAAACTAAAAAGACGAAAGTGTACAGGGTGGGGCAAAATTCTGGGAGCCTAGTGTTTTTTCAGATAAAATCTAAAGGAAAGTACCTAGGAACAAAATGTTTAGCGCACACATATTGAACCTTTACATATACAGCGTAACTCTCAAATTCTGACTTGCCTTTTTTCTTGCCATTTTTCTTTTGGCTTCAAAGCAGCCCCTGAAATTAGCGTCCGCCTGTCGTGGCACGCAGGCAGTCGTGGTAAATTCATCTTACGCCTTCATGATAACCGCTTCTTTCACCTCAGACAGTCGAAGGGATACCTCCGCCGGGCATATGGCGCGGGTCTGCCACTTCGCGCTCCGGAGCCCTGCCATTTCACGCATTTTTGTGCTCCGGGGCTCTCCCAAAAGTGGCGCACCTCCGGAGCAGAGATTTGCGCGTCGCGGAGAGGGGTCCCATTCATTCACCTTGACGTCACAAATAGGACGAATTGGACCCCTCTCCGCGACGCGCAAATCTCTGCTCCGGAGGTGCGCCACTTTTGGTAGAGCCCGGGAGCACAAAACTGCGTGAAATGGCAGGGCTCCGGAGCGCGAAGTGGCAATCCTCCGCTGGGGAAAGCCCGCGACCCTGCCACTTCTGCTCCGGAGGTATCCCATCGACTGTCTGAGACTAGACAAATGTGCAGTATGATAGAGAAAGTTTTTGGCTACAACCTGTTATGAAGAATTTTTTTTTGCAATGGGAGATTTTTTTGGAATTTTAAGTGAAGAAGTGTACTTGCTAATAGGAATTTGAATGCGATTACGCGAACGGGAGCGAAGAATCATAATCTAAAAAATATTGAAATTGCTTCATCGATCGTTATGAAATAAGTGCTTATATAGAAGATTCAAGTATAGCCTAAAACTCAGCACCTGCTGCGCTCCTACACGTTTCAAAATTATTTGAAAGGCAAAGGGCTACTGGTACACAGGTAATATTTGCAAATTTTTATTTTGTGTTTTCTAAAGAATTTTTGGCAAACGTAACTACTACGATGTGAAAGCGCAAAGCCTCCTCTACATTGCATGCATCAAAGTAATGTAAAATATTCACAGTATCTTCTTTAGTTAGTTGTGGTTACTAAAAACTTTGATTTTTTCCTCTGCAGAAGCGATTGTTTGATAAATTAATTCTTGCAAGAACACTTGGCAAGCATTTTTAGCTAGGTAAAGTGTGATTTGTAGAGGATGGCAGCATTATGTAGCACAAATTAATATCAGTCGTCAGAAGTTTCGTGATTTACAACACTGCAAAGTCGGCTCCCAGACTTTTACCCCACCTGTAATTATTAGGTTGTCTCGAAAGTAAATTCCATTTTCAAATAACTTGAGCAATTTTTGTTCTCCTAATAGATTTGGGGTACCATTCGATAGAGCGGAGCAAGCTCTACAAAAAGACCACCAAGGATCCACTCTAATTCAGGCAAAATTGAACCCAAAAGTCAAAATTTTTCAGCTACCCTAAAAATCGGGACTAGTCCAAAAAATTTCTATGAACTTCAAGCTTGGTCTTCATATAATAGAAACATAATAGTACAAAAAAATGACTTCTTCCGGCGCTCAAAACTGAGCAACAAAACTGGTTCGAAAAGAGTTTTTCATGTAAAACTTGGTATTTCTCGATCATAAAAGTACATAAAAGGGTAAAATTTTTGGATTCTACTTAGAAAGGCTTGTAGTATACAATGACATATGTGGGAGGGCCTGGGAGCGAAGTTGCTATTTTTGGACTATCTTTTTCTCTAGTTTATCATGCGCGTAAAAAATCCAGTAAAGGCATATTCGAATATTACTGTGTGCCTAATGTATAATAACCAAGTTGGAGGTCCGTAGGGCTATTCTTAGCGAAAATTCAAGTTCCAGTTGACATAAGTTTTCTCGATTTTCTTTTTGTAGAACTTCATCTGCTCTATCAAATGCTCTATCTCTACCCAAGTCTACCAGTAAATCAAAAACCGCTTGAATTATTCAAGACAGGGGTTTACTTTCGGGATAACCTAATAGAAGTATAATGTTCGAACCTATGAGCCACCTTTTTACTTGATTCTTCTCTTTATATGTGCTAATCTAGAAGGTTCCACAAATATACTGCTCCTGTTGATAAGCTTATAACCTTTTCACAGAAGTCAACACTTTTGCGAACAAAGAACGCGCAACCCTTATCTTGAATTGGTTTTCTTCGTCACTTACTCCGGCCTCTGTCAGTCTTCCTTTCTCCTCAACATCCAAAAACTTGAACTGTCGACTGTGCGAATACGGCTCTACACTAAGCATCTCCAAATTGAACGTCAGCCAGTGTTCATCGTTGGGGATGTTCTTCCATACTAAAACGGGGTGGGTTTTGGCCGCTGTATGAGAGGTCTGTAGCATTCACTGCAAGAGTTTTGTTACCTTTGCTTTTGGCTTTTCTGCTTAATCTATATGGTACTTGTAGTTTGCGTAGTTCTTCAGCGCACATGCCTTTCAGTCCCTGAAAGAAAGACTCTTTTGGGTTTTCCTGTTGGAAAAAGTAAAATCTACCTTGTCCAATCCAGGCATGGCCATACCGACTCCCAGCTGCATTGATACTGGCTGTTCATTGTAAGTCTGGTACACTTTCTTGCCGTCTTCGACAAAAACCTAGTAAGAAAATGCTCAAAAATTTTGATCCGATTTGAAATTGAGAATATTGGTAAATGAAAGGACTTACTTTGTAATGGAATGTGACGAAATCCAATCGGTGTGCTGGCGTTCCGCACGTCGCAGGAACCCATGTATTTTCGACCTGAATAAAAAAACTCCTTCACCAAGACTCAATTTTCTTATGTTTATGTACAGGAATACTAAACGATGTGAAACATGGAAGCTTTTTTCAAAGGGCGCTACTCTCCTTCATCTCAGTTAATCCGTGCACTCAGATCTAATTCAGGTTCAGAAGGCAAAGGGATATAGAAAACACCTTGATATCTAATGGGCCACCATTGCTGAGCTCTTCCAAATGTCGGATTTGTGCGGCAGTCATGGGTTTGCCCTCCCCTCTGATTTCGATCACGGGTATCGCATCTTCCGACTTCCCGACAGATGTCGTGCCATGAACTGTAAAGTATGCAATGGGGCATTCACTGAAGGACTCTTGAATGGTGTGCAAGATCACATAGAAAGACCTTGGGAAGTGCTACTTCGCCTAGTCGACTTTCGCTTTAACTACACCAAATTTTGTACTCCTAACAATCAATTTCTCATCGCGAGTTGATTTTAACATTCAAAATAAGAACAAAAAATGTAGGTATAGATGAGTTTGTGCTATATGCGCGACAACCAAGCTAGCACGAACAGAGTGGTAAGAGAGTAATTATCATTTAACATAGTTGTATATACAGGGTGTCCCAAAAAGATGTGCACACTGTTTTATTGTTAATAACTTTCTTGCTTTCTTGTCTTTTGCCGAGATTAATGTACCAATCTTCAGAGCGAGGTTCAACTTAGATTTACAGTATGGAGCGAGTTATCAGCAGCTCTTCATTACTGTAGGATTACGGGGATTTTCGAGGAGGATCTTGAGTCATTGGAAGCGGTATCCTGCCCCAGAAAGAAAGCCAAACAAGCCAGAAACTCTTGAACTGGGTTAATCGAAGTTGCTGATTCTAAATATGAAATTTGCACATCAGTACACTGTTTCTTTCATGAGTTATTTCGAATTCAGGGTAACAACTAATTTTTCAATGTTCGTCAGAAATGTGAATGCGCCATCAAGAAAGCTCGAAAACTGGTGGAAAAATATGTAGTAAAATCAGCACGCCTGAAAACCATGCTACACAAGTTTTTAGATTTTTTCGAAATCATTTCATCAAAAGGCTTACTCCACAGCGACGCTGTATGCTGAAAGTTCATACCGCGATCCTACAGTAACGAAGAGTGATTGGTGATTCGCTCCATACTGTAAGTCTAAGTTGAACCTCGCTCTACAGAATGGCACCTGTATACAAATAGTGTCGTTTTTATTTGCTTGCTTTAGCAGAGCAACCAGGCAACCCCAAAAATGCTCAGGGAAAATGTTCGGTAGAGCAAAGGAAGATCTACGAGCTGGCATTCATGAATTTGCGCCAGTTTGATTTACGGAAAGTTTAAACACAAATCTAAAGAGTTTGAAATGCCCAAAAAGTCGTAAAAATCAGATCAGACCTACTCGCATACATCTACACTTTCGACATCAGACAATCATATGCGCATAATTCCTTGGATAGAAACTGTGAAAATAAAGGTTTCATCTTCTTGAAGCAATGCTGAGCCATTTTCAAGTAACTAATTCTACAAGCTTGGGTAAGTATGACTTCCTTCTTTTCAGAGAAAAGAGTCGCTTTTGTAAATTCTCAGTCTATCTCGAGCTGAAATTTTCGAAATGACGATTACAGCCAAAGCTCGGCACGAGGTGGCACCAGGGAAATTTCGAAACGAAGTCCTCTTTGATCTTGAAAATTTCGTACGAAGTCCCCTTTGACCCTAAATTTTGAACGTAGAAAACCCTTGAAAAAACAAAACGTCGATCAAGAAAAGTCGCAATTTTTATGCCTTTCGGCCACAAAAACGATATTCCCTTTGCTTTTTTGTCCCAAAAACGATATCCAGCTTGACCCAGTGCCAGCTGTGTCGAGCCCTGATTACAGCACAAAAACTCAAAAGAGTGAAACTAGATCACTTCACTGTCCCTCGGATTAGGCTGAAAATTTCCAGTTATGCCCTAAGCTTGTAGTACTAAATTACTTATGTGAGGGCGACTGAGCATGGATGCCAGCTTCTAGAGCTTGCGTTGCTTCATCAAACCGTTCCCTGTAGGCATTTTTAAGGAGAGTCTGGTCGCTTTGCTAAAGCAGGACAAAGATAAAAAACGACCATATTTTTTTGATAATCTAATAAAAGTTCCTTTCAGAGAAAAGAGAGTCGTTTTTTTTTCGCAAATTTCAGGTTGTGGGATCCGATCAGATAAAAAATTTTGTTATTCCGAATGCTTGTTAAATATTTTCCTTCGTCGTAAATGAACTTTGGCTTGAAAAAAGCTACGATTAGGTGCATGTTTAATTGTGAAAATACGTTGATAGCAGAAAATCTACGAATTATGCGTCTGCATCAAATCCTATGAAGTTTAGAAAAATTCGAAAGATGTCTTTGTCCATAATATATCTTCGTAAGTTTACATCTGCTGCAGGGGTTAGTTTCTTATCTTGACGCGTACATAGGCGATCTATGTTCAACAATGTCTAAATACTTCGGATAAACTACGGGGTTAATTACGGTTTTGCAGCTATAGTAGCGTACAATGGAAGACGATAAAGAACATTAAACCGATTATGGAGGTGAAAAGAACAAATAGTCGAGATTGAAATAATGAACTAACTAGCAGCAACTCTTGGAGATGTTTCTCCATAATGGAGATGTAAAAAACCCTCAACTGCAGAGGCTTTCAGATACAAGCATTGTACATGCATAGCATAAGGTTACTGCTCAGTCTCAACGAATACCTACGTCTTCAAAGGGCTGCAGAGAGCTCATTGCCATTTCAAAGCCAGGACTGCTCAAGTAGACTCAAGCAGTTTCTATCTCTGAGCGTTTGAAAATCGGTTATCATGATCGCAATTACCTTGCGTTCAACAATGAAGTCTATGTACAATTACTAGGGTGAGTCAAAAGTAATGAGAACATCGCATCTCTTTTTAAACCTACTCTCAAACTAGGTAGAATATGTATAAGCAAGTGCTCTAAACGGTGTCCGGCACAGTTTTTCTTCCTCTTTCCGACAGATATAATTTTCAACCAAATCACTTTGTAATTGCTGAAATATTTGCAGAAATTTTGAACACAACGCGTTTTCCGTTCAAAATCTATGGTTTTAAAAAATTCTAGATTGTGGTAATTTGAAGCGGTAAACGCTTGATTACCTTGCAGAATCAAGGCTCGATGATAAACTATTTTCGAAGCTCTCAAATTCGAAAGATTTTGTAGGGTTTAACGCATTTTTGTTTTGAGCCATTTTTTGAAAATTTGGGGCTTTTGCAAAAATGGTTTCAAAATGCTAGTTTCGAAATACCTAAATAGTGGATTGCATCAAGCAGAGCCTGCTTTATCTTTATGTTATCGAATTTGTTCGAAAACCTCAAACTGAAAATTCTGAGATAGCTAAACTCAAGGAAAGCAAAAATGACGGGTTCAAAATCTGGGAAATTTTTTCGACACTTAGAAGTCAACTGGGCCATTGGCCTCACTGCTGAGAAGGGGAAAAGTTACGTTTTATACAATTCAGGGTACTCTTCTATCGCTATTCTACAAGAGTTGCGGAAAGTTCGAGATGGGGAGCTAAAAGTTCTCATTATTTTTGACTCAACCTAATACAAATGAAATTAACATGCAGTGGCCACAACAAGCCTTGTTAGGAGTCCCATATTTGTACTGACAATGAGATATCAAGTATCCAAAAGTCTGTGCATTAATGAAGATTGTATGAGGACCAAAGTGGTCTGGGATGAGAAGCGGAAGCAATGGTTTTTCAAACGTTTGAAGTGTCAATAGATAGCACGCATAAATGTGAGTCGCAGTTTTCAAGAACTATGAACAGATAATGATAATAAAGTAGTGAACAAATTTTGTTTCTGATTCATAAAAAATGACCTCATAATCAGATATATTCGAATAAATTCGTGCATTTTAAGAGCATCATTCCTCTTGGGCCATTAAGTTTTGACAAATTATTTCGAAGAGTTTTGGTAAATGATTATTGAGGACATTTTGCGAATTACTGCAACATATGATAGTATGGAAGAAAAGTTATTGTGTCAAAGTCTAAGGGTAAGCTATTGAGATTTCTTCTGAGTTCTGAGTGCAGTTCATGCAGGTTTTGCGTTTTTAGATTGTATAGTGAAGCCGGTTGGTGGAAATCCAAAAATATCTATTCTGGAAGTTGCTGCAGGAACAACTATAACAAGGGTTATGTTTTTGTCTTAGTGAGTTTGACATCTGGTGAATTGATTGTACAAACAAATCCAAGCTAAGAAAGTTCTTAGAAAAATCGTAGAAGTGAACCTACATCATATCACTGTTCGAGATTTATATACCCAAACTTCATGCCATTATTAGGATCACTGGGAATATTATTTTACAAAAAGGTACACATCATCTTTGCTAGATACATGCTGTTGAGGTTAATTTAGGTTGCCAGCTTTGCAACTTTCACCATCATAGCATTTTCCCTGAAGTAATGAGTTAGTACTGTCCTTGTTTTTACGACGATGTTCTCTTAGATTTGACTGGCGTTGTCATAATAGACCTATCAATCATATCCGCGCAAAAAAACCTACTTGTTTTCTTCCGGTAACAACGACGCTTAAGTAGGTTAACTACCGAATCATAACACATAAATGGTTTTCAATAACAGAAGATTCTCCACAAATTGTTTGCCGTTGACGTAGTTCGGTATTTTTAAGAAAATCCATGGAGCAGAGAGATTGAACGATGGAATAACTCTGAGGTTAAAAAATGAGGAATAGTGATGAACGAGATTGTGATGCATGAACCGCAGCTGTGAAAAATCACTCGAAATCTTTTCCTAATTTCAAGCAAATATTTGCGATCGAGTGTAAAAGGATTAGGATTACCTACCATGGTAGAGCGATATGCAGAGGAGCGCGAACGCCCGCATGGTAGACGAGTGAAGTGGTACTGACCTCGATCTTCACGCGGACAGTGCGGATCGGACGGATCAATAGACGGAAGAGAAGTGGAAAAGGTGAGCAAGGACACTTCCATAGAAGAAGAGCCGAGCAAGAACTCATTCTTGACCGCGAGCTAGCATTGTGACAAGTTTCGTGCCATTCTGAATGATTTTGCAAGTTTTGCAAGTTTTACCGGCTGCCTCTAAACCAGTCGGGCACATTGAAGAATTTTATCGAAGTAATTGCTCTTTCCTTAATGCCTTTTATGCAGTGTACATTTTAGAAATGTGCGCATGTAAGGGAAAACTTAGGTTGTAATAAGTCTTGTTACACTTTCACTTCTTATGGCGATAAGTATACTTCTCGATAGTGCAAAGGCTCTACAATGGTGAGAAAGAGTTCGCACCAGCTTCGACCCCCCGTAAGTTTGCAACCAGAATTTGAGTCGTAAAAATTGGGAAAAATTCATACCTTCGTTCAACAAAATCTTACAGATTTCCAACTTGCTCACACGAATTGAACACCACATTAGGCACTCTATGTGCCGTTCCTGTATTTTTTTTCATCCAAAAATCGAGAAAGCAGAAATTTCCATGCTTACGGAAATAAGTAAAGAATCTATGCAGTTTTTACTCATGTAATTCTATACTACAGCCCTCAAAAGCACAATCGTAAATTTTCAGCTCTTCACAGGCCCTAGTTTTCGAAAATTACCGAATTTAGTTCCCCTCACTCGGTGTTCCGTGCTAAATCAATATTTCTCGAAAACTAGGGCCTGTAGAAATCTGAAGATTCACTTATACTTCCAAAGGCTTGTAGTATAACAATCACATGAGTGGAAACAGCATAGCTGCTTTTTTGTTCAAGCATGAAAATTTTCATTTTCTTGGTTTCTAGAAGAGAAAATACAACAACGGTACATACAAGTGTATGATATGGTGTGCAATTTGTATAAGCAACTTGGAAATTCGTAAAATTTTTTTGAACGGGGAAATGAATTTCTCCCAATTTTTTGAGCCTTTGGTACGAATCAGGTTCTGGGTGCAAACTTAAGGGGGAAGCTGCTGCGAACTTTTGCACACCATCTTATCGAGCTTGCTTTGCTCTATCGAATGGTACCCTAGAGCCTCATTAAAATTATAAGATACAACTTATCACCATAAGAAGTGAAAATACAACAAGACTTGTGTT